GTAACAAGGTCCTATAGTTCTAGTAACACAACATACTGTATATATAACAAGCTCCTATAGGCCTAGTAACACAACATACTGTATATATAACAAGGTCATATAGGTCTAGTAACACAACATACTGTATATATAACAAGGTCATATAGGTCTAGTAACACAACATATAATTTATATAACAAGGTCCTATAGGCCTAGTAACCCAACATATATATATATATATATATATATAACAATTTCCTATATGCTTAGTAACACAACATACTGTATATAGCAAAGCCCTGTAGGTCACATGTTGTCTGCAGCTGTGACTTGAGTCCACACTGTAACTTTCATTCCAGACAGAGGCTGGTGAACATCAAAGCATTGGGTCTGCCTGGGGACGCAATACAACGCATTACCTCCCAGAGGCAGTGCTCCTGACACGTGTAACGCTCTCAGAAGTGGCCCACAGAGGCTAGAAGTCTTTAATTACTTACCCAGGCTATACTTTGTAAAAAAAAAAAAAAAGCTACACTTTTGTACTAGGCTAGAAAACAAACTTCCTGTTTCTACACCTTGTTCATGTATTTTTGTTACACTGTTAATACACATAGCGTATTTATATACTGGATTCTTAACATAGCTCACTTTAATAAATCTACTGCAGTACATTTTATTCCTAGTATACAGTGGGGGAAAAAAGTATTTAATCAGCCACCAATTGTGCAAGTTCTCCCACTTAAAAAGATGAGAGAGGCCTGTAATATTCATCATAGGTACACGTCAACTATGACAGACAAAAAGAGAAAAAAAATTCCAGGAAATCACATTGTAGGATTTTTAATGAATTTATTTACAAATTATGGTGGAAAATAAGTATTTGGTCAATAACAAAAGTTTCTCAATACTTTGTTATATACCCTTTGTTGGCAATGATACAGGTCAAACGTTTTCTGTAAGTCTTCACAATGTTTTCACACACTGTTGCTGGTATTTTGGCCCATTCCTCCATGCAGATCTCCTCTAGAGCAGTGATGTTTTGGGGCTGTCGCTGGGCAACACGGACTTTCAACTCCCTCCAAAGATTTTCTATGGGGTTGAGATCTGGAGACTGGCTAGGCCACTCCAGGACCTTGAAATGCTTCTTACGAAGCCACTCCTTCGTTGCCCGGGCGGTGTGTTTGATATCATTGTCATGCTGAAAGACCCAGCCACGTTTCATCTTCAATGCCCTTGCTGATGGAAGGAGGTTTTCACTCAAAATCTCACGATACATGGCCCCATTCATTCTTTCCTTTACACGGATCAGTCGTCCTGGTCTCTTGCAGAAAAACAGCCCCAAAGCATGATGTTTCCACCCCCATGCTTCACAGTAGGTATGGTGTTCTTTGGATGCAACTCAGCATTCTTTGTCCTCCAAACACGACGAGTTGAGTTTTTACCAAAAAGTTCTATTTTGGTTTCATCTGACCATATGACATTCTCCCAATCCTCTTCTGGATCATCCAAATGCACTCTAGCAAACTTCAGACAGGCCTGGACATGTACTGGCTTAAGCAGGGGGACACGTCTGGCACTGCAGGATTTGAGTCCCTGGCAGCGTAGTGTGTTACTGATGGTAGGCTTTGTTACTTTGGTCCCAGCTCTCTGCAGGTCATTCACTAGGTCCCTCCGTGTGGTTCTGGGATATTTGCTCACCGTTCTTGTGATCATTTTGACCCCACGGTGTGAGATCTTGCGTGGAGCCCCAGATCGAGGGAGATTATCAGTGGTCTTGTATGTCTTCCATTTCCTAATAATTGCTCCCACAGTTGATTTCTTCAAACCAAGCTGCTTACCTATTGCAGATTCAGTCTTCCCAGCCTGGTGCAGGTCTACAATTTTGTTTCTGGTGTCCTTTGACAGCTCTTTGGTCTTGGCCATAGTGGAGTTTGGAGTGTGACTGTTTGAGGTTGTGGACAGGTGTCTTTTATACTGATAACAAGTTCAAACAGGTGCCATTAATACAGGTAACGAGTGGAGGACAGAGGAGCCTCTTAAAGAAGAAGTTACAGGTCTGTGAGAGCCAGAAATCTTGCTTGTTTGTAGGTGACCAAATACTTATTTTCCACCATAATTTGCAAATAAATTCAATAAAAATCCTACAATGTGATTTTCAGGAATTTTTTTCCTCAATTTGTCTGTCATAGTTGACGTGTACCTATGATGAAAATTACAGGCCTCTCTCATCTTTTTAAGTGGGAGAACTTGCACAATTGGTGGCTGACTAAATACTTTTTTTCCCCACTGTATATGTTTGGTGTATATAGGCATAGATTGCATTTGGATTACTGATACAGTGTTATTTGGGTTGTTCATTGGATTCGTTCTGACATTCTTGATTCCTTGTTTCTATCTTCTGATTATTTGTGTACTTTTTTGGCATTTTACTGAACTGTTAGGAGCTAGTAACAAGCATTTTACTGCACTGTTAGGAGCTAGTAACGCAAGCATTTTACTGCACTGTTAGGAGCTAGTAACACAAGCATTTTACTGAACTGTTAGGAGCTAGTAACACAAGCATTTTACTGCACTGTTAGGAGCTAGTAACACAAGCATTTTACTGCACTGTTAGGAGCTAGTAACACAAGCATTTTACTGAACTGTTAGGAGCTAGTAACACAAGCATTTTACCGAACTGTTAGGAGCTTGTAACACAAGCATTTTACTGAACTGTTAGGAGCTAGTAACACAAGCATTTTACCGAACTGTTAGGAGCTTGTAACAGAAGCATTTTACTGAACTGTTAGGAGCTAGTAACACAAGCATTTTACCGAACTGTTAGGAGCTAGTAACACAAGCATTTTACTGAACTGTTAGGAGCTAGTAACACAAGCATTTTACTGAACTGTTAGGAGCTAGTAACACACGCATTTTACTGCACTGTTAGGAGCTAGTAACACAATAATTTTACTGCACTGTTAGGAGCTAGTAACATTCGCTGCATCCGCTATAACATCTGCTAAACTGTATACGCAACAAATAAACTTTGATTTGATTATGATTCGATTTTGTGTCTACAAGATGTACAAACTGATATTCTATACACTGTTTTTGTAGGACTACTACACTTAACCACAGGGATAATTTAATTTACCCCTGAATTAGACAAATATAGGGAGATTTATGGATTTCTAAAAAGGGTGTGATTCTTATTTCTGGCACGGAGGGAGAGTCAAGTCCCTCCAACTCAGTTGTCTATATGTGTTCTATTTAAAACGTTTTGTGGTTTGGAACTTTTCTGCAGATGATGGATAGAGACATTTTTAAGGGCGCTATGACAGAGTTTTAGACTTACATAGAGCTCAGACTGTTGGCTTTGCTCAAAGCTTATGTCTGGAATCTGTGTCAGTGGGTTGTGTAATTGACAGACTTGCCTGTTGTCCTTTGTGTGCGTGTGAGCGTGCTTAGCATTCCTGTCTTTCTGTCTGTCTGTCTGTCTGTCTGGTTTGCAGCAACGAACAAGATATGTGTGGTCCTACACAGTCCCACAAGGCACCTGTGCTGAAAACACACTCTCCAAAAAAGTTATACATTTCTTGCTCTTATTACTAATGGTAGAGAAATGGCATTAATGCGAGCTATGAGCAGTATTCTGTCTGCATTGGTGCCAGCTACTGCACGGCTCACCACATTCTGATGGACATCAGGCCTATAGGGCGCCGGCAGGTGGGTTTGGCTGGAGGATTTATTAGTGTTATAACAGTTTCTCATCCTTTAGCGTTCACTTGGCTGGTGCTAAAGGTAGATTGGCGCTAATGGACGTCGACTTAGATATAGACTTAATATTTATTAAATGCTTTCCCTTCCTGAATTCAAATGGAGGGTGTCTTTTGTATTGTATTGCTGTAGATTATCAAAAATGTGACATACTTTCATCCATGAAATAATGTTGCTTCAGTAGAAGGGTCAGATGAAAGTAAGAGATGGCAGGCTAATTTAAACCCAAGAAACTTTGTTACTTTTCACAAACAGTAGAGGACAGCAGATCACATCTTTATGCATGTTGGTGTCCCTCACCACAGTTTGTAGGCCTGCATGTCATGTCTGGTAGTGATGAGTGGGTCAGTCATTTGTTTACCCACACCTGCCCTCAACTGCTAATCACCCATCTGCAACCGCCCGACCATGTGTGGTAAAGTGAAAATCTGAGGCCGCAATATAGAAAATGGGTGGATGGGTAGGCTTATAATGTGAACATCTAGCAACCCAAAGGTTGCAAGTTCGTATCTCATCACGGACAACTTTAGCATTTTAGCTAATTAGCAACTTTTCAACTACTTGCTACTTTTTAGCTACTTTGCAACTACTTAGCTTGTTAGCTAACCCTTCCCCTAACCTTAACCTAGCTAATGACACACCTACCCTAGCTAATGTTAGCCAGCTAGCTAGAATTCGTAACATATCATACATTTTTCAAATTCGTAACATATTGTACGTTTGCTTATTGGAAACATATAATGCGAATTGTAATTTGTAACATATCATATGAAATCGGTAGTGGACATCCACAAATGAATAAATACCATATGAAACGTAGCATATCATACAATAAATACCATACGAAACTTAGCATATCATACTAAATGGAGTGTCTCGGATTTTCAAACAGAATAATATGAATACGAAATGCTCTGTGACCAGGTTGCAGCATTCTGATGCCCCCATATCGTCACTGTAAAAGTAACATGCGCTGTGTCAGACTAGTAGGAGGAAATATAATATCCCCCCACCTCATAAACAAACATAAGCACAGTGATTGGCTTTGAGGAATCGATCTGTACATTAAATAACCATGGTGATGTCCTCGCCTCAAAGGCCTCAACTGATCCTGAAATAAATTATTGACTACACACACCGCTTTTGAAAAAGGACTCAACATGTCTCCACAGTAATAATCTTGATGTAAGGGGCTGATCTAACATAAGGTGGTACCGCCTGGTTGTACGTTTGACGTCATGGAGATACATTCGAACTGTCAACCTGTCCAACAGACAACACTATATAAAAGTGTAGCTAGCTACACGACAGGTGTGTTTACCGCGTAGGTTACAAGGTGGCGAGCCGAGAATTTCACCAGAAGTTGTGGTTGTAATTTTTGGATTACCATGCGCGTAGAGGAGTTAATTCATTGAGATGTACATTAGTTACCTGCTGGATAAAGAAACCGGAATGTACTCAAATTCCATGAGACACCCGACTCAAACTCTGAACAGTCAGAACTTCATGCAATATGCGGGGTTCACCAGTTATCATCACGTCACGGGCATCAGTGACCCTCATGCCCAGAAGACAAGTCTGTGGAACCCCGTTTACGAAGCCCCGCGAGAGCTGTGGTCACCTTATGGCCACAGCGCGGGCTTCCCCGGTTCGAGCCCCGTCATGGAACAGATACGGTTCAGTTCTCCCGAACTGACTACCATCCCGCCTGCGGGGCCGGGAACTCTCCCATCACTCGACTCACCTACCGGGCAGTACTCTCCAGACTCACAGAGAAGAAACTCCTACACTGGCTTTAGACGCAATGTACATTCATCCAGTACAGGTAACATTCCCAAATCCCAGTTTCTTTTAGTATATCTTAAACAACAAACCACATACGGTTTGATTTTACTTACCCTTTTAATAATAATATAGACTAGTTGTAGTTTTAACACAAATTTACCATTTTAATTTACCATTTGATTGAGCATTTATCTCTGATGACCTACATTTCATAATCTTACTATGACAATTTTATAATCTTACTATGACAATATTGGGGCTAACAGGTGCTTCTGGAACCAGCCCTAGGTAAAATTCGTTTTCTATAGGATATTCGGTTTTCTCTCGTCAATAGCTATTGAACCATGAATGCCATGACTATGAAGATGGCATATACTGAATCAGGGGTGGATGGAGAAAAATAAATACAGTACCAGTCAAAAGTTTGGACACACCTACTCATATCAGGGTTTTTCTTTATTTTTTATTATTTTATACATTGTAGAATAATAGTGAAGACATACAAACCATGAAATAACACATATGGAATCATGTAGTAACCAAAAAAGTGTTTAAAAAATCTAAATATATTTTATATTTGAGATTCTTCAAAGTAGCCACTGTTTGCCTTGATGACAGCTTTGCACACTCTTGGCATTCTCTCAACCAGCTTCATGAGGTAGTCACCTGGAAAGCAGGTGTGCCTTGTTAAAAGTTAATTTGTGGAATTTCTTTCCTTCTTATTGCATTTGAGCCAATCAGTTGTGTTGTGACAAGGTAGGGGTGGTATACAGAAGATAGCCCTATTTGGTAAAATACCAAGTCCATATTATGGCAAAAACCATCAAGCGCTATGATGAAACTGTCTTTCATGAGGACCGCCACAGGAAGAAAGACCCAGAGTTACCTCTGCTGCAGAGGATAAGTTCATTAGAGTTACCAGACTCAGACATTGCAGCCCAAATAAATGCTTCACAGAGTTCAAGTAACAGACACATCTCAAAATCAACTGTTCAGAGGAGACTGCGTGAATCAGGCCTTCATGGTCGAATTGCTGCAAAGAAACCACTACTAAAGGACACCAATAAGAAGGAGAGACTTGCTTGGGCCAAGAAACACGATCAATCTGTCCTTTGGTCTGATGAGTCCAAATTTGAGATTTTTGGTTCTAACCGCCATGTCTTTGTGAGACGCAGAGTAGGTGAACGGATGATCTCTGCATGTGTGGTTCCCACCGTGAAGCATGGAGGAGGAGGTGTGATGGTGTGTGGGTGCTTTGCTGCTGACACTGTCTGTGATATATTTAGAATTCAAGGCACACTTAACCAGAATGGATACCACAGCATTCTGCAGCGATACTCCATCCCGTCTGGTTTGTGCTTAGTGGGACTATCATTTGTTTTTCAACAGGACAATGACCCAACACACCTCCAGGCTGCGTAAGGGCTATTTGACCAAGAAGGAGAGTGATGGAGTGCTGCATCAGATGACCTGGCCTCCACAATCAACTGACCTCAACCCAATTGAGATGGTTTGGGATGAGTTGGACCGCAGAGTGAAACAAAAGCAGCCAACAAGTGCTCAGCATACGTGGGAACTCCTTCAAGACTGTTAGAAAAGCATTCCAGGTGAAGATGGTTGAGAGAATGCCATCAATGTGCAAAGCTGTCATCAAGGCAAAGGTTGGCTATTTGAAGAATATAAAATATAAAATATATTTTTATTTGTTTAACACTTTTTTTTGTTACTACATGATTCCACATGTGTTATTTCATAGTTTTGATGTCTTCACTATTATTCTACAATGTAGAAAATAGTAAAAATAAAGAGAAACCCTTGAATGAGTAGGTGTGTCCAAACTTTTGACTGGTAGTGTATGATACCTACTGTCACGAGCTGATGTGGATGTGGTGTTGGAGTCAGGCGCAGGACACAGAAGCTTAGTCCAACAGACTTTACTTGTCAAAACACGACAATACAAAATAACGGGCCTCAACACAACGGAGGCGAGCGATTACGCATACTGTGCGTAAATACACAAAATACAAGTGATTACGCAAACAGTGCGTCAATACACTAAATACACGAGAGCAAATACAAATCACCAACGGACAGGCGGACAACAACACACAACTACAAACAAAACCAAAGGAAACTTATAGGTGACATAATCAATACGTGATATGGAACAGGTGCACTAATCAGACAAAACCAAACAAACATAGAGAACATCAAACGGTAGCAGCTAGTACACCGGAGACGACGAACGCCGAAGCCTGCCCGAACAAGGAGGAGGAGCAGTCTCGGCGGAATTCGTGACAGTATCCTCCCCTTGACGCGCGGCTCCAGCCGTGCGCCGACTCCGGCCTCGGGGACGGCCAGGAGGACGTGGAGCAGGGCGCGTAGGATGACTACGGTGGAACTCAGTCAGGAGGGATGGATCTAAAATGTCCCACCTAGGCACCCAGCACCGTTCCTCCGGACCGTACCCCTCCCACTCCACGAGATATTGTAGACCCCCCATCCGACGTCTCGAATCCACGATAGACCGGACTAAGTACGCCGGAGCCCCCTCGATGTCCAGTGGGGGCGGAGGGGTCTCTCTTATCTCACTCTCCTGGAGTGGACCAGCTACCACCGACCTGAGGAGAGACACATGGAACGAGGGGTTAATGTGATAGTCATTAGGCAGTTGCAACTTGTAACACACCTCGTTCAATCTCCTCAGGACTTTAAATGGCCCCACAAACCGCCGGCCAAGCTTCCGGCAGGGCAGGCGAAGGGGCAGGTTTCGAGTCGAGAGCCAGACTCGATGTCCAGGGGCGTAGACTGGACCCTCACTGCGGTGGAGATCGGCACTCGCCTTCTGCCTGCGGATGGCCCACTGCAGATGTACGTGTGCAGCGTTCCACGTTTCTTCCGAGCGCCGAAACCACTCATCCACCGCAGGAGCCTCGATCTGGCTCTGATGCCATGGTGCCAGAACCGGCTGATAACCTAACACACACTGAAAAGGGGTCAGGTTAGTAGAGGAGTGGCGAAGAGAGTTCTGAGCCATCTCTGCCCAGGGGATGTACCCCAACCACTCCTCCGGCCGGCCCTGGCAATAGGATCTCAGAAACCTACCCACATCCTGGTTTACTCTCTCCACCTGCCCATTACTCTCAGGGTGGTAACCCGAGGTAAGGCTAACCGAGACCCCCAAGCGTTCCATGAACGCCCTCCAGACTCTAGAGGTGAATTGGGGACCCCGATCAGACACTATATCCTCGGGAACCCCGTATTGCCGGAAGACGTGGGTGAACAAAGCCTCAGCGGTCTGTAGGGCAGTAGGGAGACCCGGCATAGGAATGAGACGACAGGCCTTAGAGAACCGATCCACAATGACCAGAATAGTGGTATTCCCCTGAGAGGGGGGAAGGTCCGTAACAAAGTCCACCGAGAGGTGAGACCACGGCCGTTGTGGAACGGGCAGGGGTTGTAACTTCCCCCTGGGCAGGTGTCTAGGCGCCTTACACTGAGCGCACACCGAGCAGGAGGAGACATAAACCCTCACGTCCCTAGCCAATGTTGGCCACCAGTACTTAACACTAAGGCAGTGCACTGTCCGGCCAATACCTGGATGTCCAGAGGAGGGTGACGTATGAGCCCAATAGATAAGACGATCACGGACCTCGAGCGGCACGTATGTCCGACCCACTGGACACTCTGGGGGAGTAGGGTCGGTGCGTAACGCCCGCTCAATTTCCGCATCGACCTCCCATACCACCGGTGCCACCAGACAAGACTCCGGCAGTATGGGAGTGGGCTCAATGGACCTCTCCTCTGTGTCATACCGCCGGGACAGGGCGTCTGCCTTACCGTTCTGGGACCCTGGGATGTAAGTGATCTTAAAAACGAACCGGGTCAGGAACATGTTCCACCTAGCCTGACGAGGGTTCAATCTCCTAGCTGCCCGGATGTAATCCAGGTTACGATGGTCAGTCAGAATGAGAAAAGGGTGTTGAGCCCCCTCAAGCCAATGCCTCCACACCTTTAGGGCTTGAACCACGGCTAACAGCTCCCTGTCCCCTACGTCATAATTACGCTCCGCCGGACTGAGCTTTTTAGAATAAAAAGCGCAGGGACGGAGCTTAGGAGGCATGCCGGAGCGTTGCGACAGTACTGTCCCAATACCGGCCTCTGACGCGTCCACCTCTACCTGGAACGCTAAAGTGGGGTCCGGGTGCGCCAGCACCGGAGCCGAAGTGAACAGGTCCTTCAGTTTACAAAACGCCCTGTCCGCTTCAGCCGACCACTGCAAACGCACCGGGCCCCCCTTCAGCAGGGAAGTAATGGGAGCTGCTACCTGTCCAAAACCCCGGATAAACCTCCGGTAGTAATTGGCAAAACCCAAAAACTGCTGCACCTCTTTAACAGTGGTTGGGGTTTGCCAGTTACGCACGGCTGACACCCGGTCAACCTCCATCTTCACCCCTGACGCGGACAACCGATGACCCAAGAAGGAGATGGACTCCTGGAAAAACAGACATTTCTCTGCCTTGACATACAGGTCATGCTCCAACAGCCTACCCAACACTCGGCGCACCAGGGCTACATGCTTGGCTCGGGTAGCAGAGTACACTAGGATGTCGTCAATGTACACTACCACTCCCTGCTCATGCAGGTCCCGGAAGATCTCGTCTACAAATGATTGGAAGACTGAAGGAGCATTCATTAACCCGTATGGCATGACAAGATACTCATAATGACCTGAGGTGGTACTAAATGCCGTCTTCCATTCATCTCCCTCCCTAATGCGCACCAAGTTATAAGCGCTCCTGAGATGCAGTTTTGTGAAGAAACGCGCTCCGCGTAATGATTCAGTCATACTCGCAATCAGAGGTAGAGGGTAACTGTATTTCACAGTGATCTGATTGAGACTACGATAATCAATACACGGGTGCAAACCTCCATCCTTTTTCTTCACAAAAAAGAAACTCGAGGACGCAGGGGAAGTGGAGGGCCGTATGTATCCCTGTCTCAGGGACTCAGCTATGTATGTTTCCATAGCCGCCGTCTCCTCTTGAGACAGAGGATACACATGGCTCCGCGGAAGTGCCGCACCTGTCTGGAGGTTTATCTCCCTGTCTATGAGGTGGCAATCGCGTCGCCCTCGTCTTGCTGAACACGAGTGCCAAATCCTCATACTCAGGAGGAATGTGCATTGCGGGCACTTGGTTCGGACTCTCCACCGTGGTCGCCCCAACGGAAACACCTAAACATCGCCCAACACACTGGCCAGACCATTCCTTGAGAGCCCTCTGTTGCCACGAAATGGTGGGGTCATGGGTGATTAACCAAGGAAGCCCCAGCACCACGGGATATGCAGGAGAGTAAATTAGGTACAACTGAATAATCTCCTCATGACGAAAACTGCCCTGAAGCGGCGGGAAAAACTCTGCGTAGCTGATGGTGGCGGCGTCTATTCCCCTCCATTCGGCTTTGGCCCACTCCAACGCCTTGCCGGAGAGACAGGAGATGAGGGCGGAAACACTCTTGTATCCCGAGGGCGCCGGGTGTATGGTGGCCAGGTAGAGTTCCACCTGAAGGAGGAACCCCTGACACCCGGCTGCGGTGCCATCATACGCCCTCGGGAGCGAGAGCCGAATCCCACTGGATTCCGGAGCTGGTCTGGTGGGGCTGGCCGATGGTGGTGGTAATGTAGGAGGAGGTGTGGGCACGCCACCCCTTTCCCATCGGCGCAGGGTGTTCATTACCTCCTGCATGGCAGAGCCGAGTTGCTGGATCCTGGCGTCCTGGCAGCTGACCCGATCCTCCAGCGACTCGGTCGCCGCCGCTGCTCCTGCTAACTCCATAGTATGGTGTGTTGTTCTGTCACGAGCTGATGTGGATGTGGTGTTGGAGTCAGGCGCAGGACACAGAAGCTTAGTCCAACAGACTTTACTTGTCAAAACACGACAATACAAAATAACGGGCCTCAACACAACGAAGGCGAGCGATTACGCATACTGTGCGTAAATACACAAAATACAAGTGATTACGCAAACAGTGCGTCAATACACTAAATACACGAGAGCAAAGACAAATCACCAACGGACAGGCGGACAACAACAAACAACTACAAACAAAACCAAAGGAAACTTATAGGTGACATAATCAATACGTGATATGGAACAGGTGCACTAATCAGACAAAACCAAACAAACATAGAGAACATCAAACGGTAGCAGCTAGTACTCCGGAGACGACGAACGCCGAAGCCTGCCCGAACAAGGAGGAGGAGCAGTCTCGGCGGAATTCGTGACACCTCCTAATGGTCTAGTTACTTGAGACAGAAACAAAAGTAGAGAGGTTGGTCGGGGAGGATGGTGGGCATAATCTAGCCATCCAACGGTTCCAGTCGGGTCCGGGACAACTGTAGCATTTTTGCTAACCTTCCCTTAACCCTTATTTTAAACATAACCCAATTCACCTAACCTGCTATGTAAATTCACCTTACCTTTGTCAGTTTAGTTCTCCTAACTTTTGTTGTTAGTTCCCCAAACCCCCAATGCAAATTGTTCCTGTCATTTTAATTTGATGTTAAGCAATATGGTCTCAAATAAAGACGTGCAATACTATATGTCCTCCAAGATGTATGATAAGTCACATCCTCCAATTCGTATGCTATTGTATGACCGGTTAAGATGGATGATACTATACATTCTCTAATTCATATGATATTGTACAACCACTATTCCATTCATAATGTAACCTAACGTAATGTAATATCATACTAAATAGAGTGTCACAGATTTGTGTACAGAATAATATGAATTGCCCTGAGACCACGTTGCATGCAAAGGTTTCCACAGTTGATAAGAAATTGTTCCACTGAACTCATAGAGCAACGTAAACACAATGCAAACATCATATTACAATGTAATAATTTAATAATCTGCATGATGCCAATAGACACAGTCAACTTGACCAGGCCTATTATTTCCTTAATAAAATGTGTTTATTTTGTAACAGCATTTCATTTACAAAGGAAATCCTCTGATACAGTAGTCTACCGATCGTTGAACAGCCCTAAAACAGTATGTTGATTTACCAACTTCTCAGAGAGTAGAACACCTATTAGACAAATAGCATTTGTGTTGATCCGATGTCAGTACTCAATGGCAGACGTCAGGTTTTGAGTTTTGACTTGGTGTACAGGACACAGGACAAGCATTGGTGACACACTGACAACATAATACATATTCATACACGTCCCAGAACCATTACAAAACGTCACACACACACATCCATCAAACAAAACCTTTTCACCTATCCCTTTGGTTGGTGAAAGATTTGAGTGAAAAGCTAACAGCCGAGGACAGGGAGTCTGTGACCTGTGGTTCCCCACCCTCTCTGTCCACTGTGGGGGTGACAGGCTGGGCAGATAAGGCTGACAGCCAGGGGTTTGGCTGGTTGTCTCAGGACAGGACCAACCCTCCTCTCCAGGAAACTTCCCTGGTCTTATCTCAACCCACCTCGCCCTGTTGCGATCAATATACAGTCACACCGTGCCGTCAAGACTTCCCCTGTGGATCAATACCATCTCCCTGACTCATCCATCCCTGGCGCTGTGTGTGTTTGGTGGGATGTGTGTGTGTGTGTGTACGCACGCAAGTGTGAATGAATGGCTACCTATGTAAACACCTATGTAAACAGTTCTCACAGTGATAAGAACCACAATAGTAATGTCTTATGGTCTCTTACACAGTGGTTATGATTAACATGATTAATAGGGTAGTTGAGGCTTTCACGGGCGCCAGGGAGTTTTCAACCATCCCGGTGTTACTCCATGTCACCATCAGCAATTTCAGCAGTCTATGGTGACACTGTTCACACATTGTACAGCCTGAGTCATGGAAACATATTCACATTGTTATTGGAGGCTTTGTGCTTAGCTAGACATGTTATGGATGTTTTTGCCAATTCCTTCCAGAGTTGTCATACAGTTTTTGTATTTCTCATCACCTCATACTATATAAATGTAACCCAACCTCTTAAACGTTAAGTTATTTAGGTGACTTTTGTTATAATGTAATTGTTTTATCAAGGCATATCAAGGTAATTTGCTTATAAATCAACTTCTGGCTGACAGCCCCGCTTCCCTGCTTCAATGCAGTAGGCCTTGGATGGCTCTGGGAAATGGGGTTACATATCAAAAGCCATTTGAGGGTCGGGAGTCCCGCCTTAACGTTCATTCGCTGATTGGACTGTCCGTCAATTTGTGGCAAAACAATATATCACAGTGCTGTAGTCCCATCGTTCTGCAACAAACAGACATCGATTTATATTGAAGTAAAAACAACTTGATGTGAAACAAAACCACTTTGTGTTCATCACAGAGGGACAAACTTTAGATTAGATGTAAACTGAGATCTTGACGAATATGTAGAGTTGTTGGCCAACTCTGTGGTACATTCACAGGGGGAAGGAGAACAATGAATGATAGCAGTGTACCAGGAAATGAGTTGGATTTTCCCTGACCACTACAGTAGTTATGTAAAAAAAAGATTACAGTAAAAATCTGAAATCTTATATCATGTCAATTGTAAAGTTGATTGTGAGTATATGTAGATTAGAAAAAAATCAAGCCCTATTTCTCACAAATAGGTTGTTCATAGCATATGAAATAAAACATATATGATGTACTATTTTTCATACTACTATTTTTTCATACTACTATGGCAGTAAAAATGGCATACAAATCATAGATAAATAATAAATACTAAACAAAAAGCAAAATATCAGGGCTTTCATAACAGTATAGGCCAGGGTATTACTACGTACTGCTGTTTTATACGGGCAGCCACTTAACATTAAAGTTCAACAGCTTTTAAATGTTATCATCAGTTATTATAATGTATTGTTGTGTTGTTGTAACATTGTCATTCTTGTGTCCAGGAGGGAAGACGCGCACCAAGGACAAGTACAGGGTGGTGTACACAGACCAGCAACGCCTAGAGCTGGAGAAGGAGTTCCAGTCCAGTATATACATCACCATCAGGAGGAAGACAGAGCTGGCCCTGGGCCTCACCCTCTCAGAGAGACAGGTGGGTCAGAGAGACAGAACTGGCCCTGGGCCTCAGCCTCTCAGAGAGACAGGTGGGTCAGAGAGACAGAGCTGGCCCTGGGCCTCAGCCTCTCAGAGAGACAGGTGGGTCAGAGAGACAGAGCTGGCCCTGGGCCTCAGCCTCTCAGAGAGACAGGTGGGTCAGAGAGACAGAACTGGCCCTGGGCCTCAGCCTCTCAGAGAGACAGGTGGGTCAGAGAGACAGAAGACAGGTGTGTGTTAGAGAGACAGTTGGAGAGCTGTAGAATAAGTTCCAGTACAGAGCTGGCCCTGAGACAGCCTCTCAGAGAGACAGGTAGATGGCAGAGAGACAGACAGGCTTGTGAGAGAGACAGGTGTGTCAAAGAGACAGATGAGAACAACAGGCAAGTCTCTGAGAGCCATGTGGGTCAATGAGGATCAATTATTTAGAATCCAATCAGTTTCAGAATTTCTTGTTTGGGTCGCAGGGGAGTTTCAGAACTACAGGTGGATTATCTGTGCATAGACACATCACCTCACACTGTAGGTACATTCTCATCATTCTCTGACATCATCGCAGGTGAAGATCTGGTTCCAGAACAGGAGAGCCAAGGAGAGGAAGATAACCAAAAACAAGATCCAGCTGTCCCAGCAGGCTTCTACGACCACTCCCACCCTGACCCTGACCCCGCCCAGCCTGGTTGACCCCAGTAACGGTTCCATGGCAACCAGCTCCAGCAGCAGCTTGTTGTCAGAGACTATCAAAGAGGAGTACTGAGGAGTTCCTTTACCGTAGACATACTGTACAACACTGGAATAACCATATCAAACTGGTATTCCCATGACAATCACTACAGAAGATGTAATTGACCTCAATGATATGATGATGAAAATACTATTTCATGCATCTTGCACTACACACCTCTAATATAATACTACTTTTTGTGTTTGATATAGGCCTAACTCAATGAAAGAAAGAGAGAGAGAAGCACATGTTACACTATGCAAATGTATAAAGACACTAACTGCTTTTGTGTTGATACTGTATTTTCTTAACCCAATTAATTTGTAACTGCAAAATAATGGTAATGTTTTGATCTGAAGCACGTTTTTGTTTTTTTTCATATATTTTGTATGAAAAGTTTGATTGGTTTTGAGGAGCTGTGAAGGGAAATTAAATTGAAGAGATGTTGAGAGAATGTGTATTTACTTTAATATTAAATCAATGAGGATAGTGGAGCATGATTCCACCAGTCCTTTTGTTTGGGCAGTGAAAGTCTGTTAGGCCTTTTATTGCTTGTATGTGCATGTTTGTCAATAGAGCTCGCCAGCTTGTGGTCCTAAAAAACAGACATGAGATACCTCTGGTTAGTTCAGCCATTCCTATGGGGAAAAGGAATGGGGAAAGAATGGGGTTTTGGGGATAAACACCGAAAATAAGGTCTGAGATCTTAAGCGTTGTGTTCTCTGAGACAATATCAATCAGTTAATATGACCTTTATGAATGATGAAGCCTTTGTGCTTTATGGGCTGACGTTAGCTGATGAAGATTCTCATATAGGCTTAAGAGATCGTATACGTTTTGCTCTGTTTACCACAGACCATATTTTCAGTGTTTATACTAAAACCATCCAAAAACTCCATTCATTTCCCCATAAGCTTTGTCCAACAAGCCATGGCGGAATTAGTGCCTACAAAAAGACGCCATTACTATTGTTCTCTATAATGTTGACAGGCAGATCTAAGGGTGTGGTGGGCAAAGCTAACCGCACTAAGCTCACACCAAACTAAATAACCACCCAAATGAAACTGAAATGAATACAGGTTTACTTTGCTGATGGGCATTTTGAAGTTATTGGTACAAACATTACTGTGTTGCGAACGACCTTACAAGCAAATAGGCTACAGATAGATGTTGTTTGTGCCCTATTTCCCGATTTTGCCAAAATGGACACCTGAAAACAAGTTTGAAAACCACTGTTGTATACTCTGTAGGTGCCAACTTAGACATCTATGATCACCAAGGAGGGAAACCACTAGTTTTAGCCGTTTACAGTCTCTCCACAAATTATTCCTTTGTGATTGCAATGCCAGAGGAAAAAGACAAGCGTAAAAGTCATGATTGCTCAAACTTATAAATGTTGCAGGGTTTTAAAAGGATCAAAGACTTATCCAAGTCTTATCCAAGCTGTTTGCGTCACATGATGATGGGGACTGTGCCCATTGCATTGCTGTAAAACGTATATGGGGATGTAGACACTTACTTCCTGATTATCGTCCAATAGGAGACAGAAGACAGAGGAAGAAGACGTTAGTTAGATAGATAGATGATTAGAGCAGCAGACCTGGGCCACCTGTCCTATAGATCAGTAACCACATAGAGGTAGTGAGCCTGGGGTTATGGAGAGTTCACCTATGATGAGCCATAAAGACTGTTTATTACTCCTCAGATGGGATGACCTCTATACTGTAGTATCAAAGACGACAGGCACCAATGGCTGCTTGCTTTTTAAAAACACGCTTTTATTACCAAATTGCAATTTTTTCATCACACAGCGGCATCAACAATAAGCATGAGAAATGATTCCTCTGCATATTCAACAATATTCCACATTATGTTGTCAACACTGTTAGAAACATCAGTATCCTTATTTCTCAACATCCTCTTCCCAATGTGTTCTATTCTTATTTTGATATGCAGTATAATTATTTAGTAAGAGAACATATGGGGAGATAACCAAGTATGGTGATGTCTCCAAAAAAAGCTGATTACCTCTAGCTGAGGGGATTCGACTGGAAATCATGTGACTCAAACAGGAAATGCATCAGCAACTTTATAAACTGCAATACCAGAGATGTGGAAACAAATATGTTGATGGTGTGAAAAGATATGGCCATTTCATGCATCTCTTTTTTTACAACATTAACATGTGATTGCAATAGCTCAAAAATAACATTTGTTAAAAAATATAAAATACTCTTATTTGTTGAATGTCTATGAGGACAAGCACCATGGCATTCACACATGTACTGTATGTACATACATTTCTGATGATATCTAAGATAGTTCATTATACCTTCATACAGCACCTGCACATCAAGATGTATCCATTGAGGGAGATGGACTGCATGCGTTAAAGGACTGACTTAAGGCATTGGAAATGAAAATTCCTGTTATGCAATTATTACAAATTCCTCACAAATTCTTTAAACAGTATTGAATGTTAGAGAATGATTAAAGAATGATGTAATTATTTCTGTCATGCAGCAAAAACATTAAATCTTTTGTGACCTATCACACATCTGAAACAAGTAACAAGTGACCACCACACAACCAAGTAGAATAACAGTTTCTGAAAGAAAGTAATGCGGGCAGGAAAAACAGAAGTAATGTCTCCACTTCTTGGAAACAGACACGAATGTACTAATATGTGTGAACATTCAAAAAACACAGCTGTAACTGTAACTAAGACAACTAGATTCAACATGTTTGTCATCTGTGTCAACTCTGGACCCCTCAGGGGTTGAGTCCCAATAATCTCTCCTTCCTCCTGAAGCGTGAACTTGTTCACTACTCACCACATATTTCAAGGCATTGGATTACTGTAGGCATGGGCTACAGGAAGTTTCCATTTACCAGTCATTCCCTTTCAAGTCCATGTCTACACCAATCCAATGCTTTGAAATATGTGGAGAGTAGTGCATACGTCAAGAGAAGGGAGAGATTTGGGACGCACCAGTGATTCAACTCTCAGCCTCCTATTCTATCTAGACAGTACCTTGCTCACTGGCCTTTCCGTACACTGGCATACATACAGTCCTCCTCAGGTGTGTCTACCTTCATCCTGGGACCCTTTAATATTGTAATCTGTCCATACTCCACCGGCTGCTGGGGACCCCCCGCCACTTTCACTTGTCCATACTCCACCTCAACCGGCGCCTCCCTCTCCTTCTGTCTCATTTCCTTCCTCAGTATCCTGACATCAGCGTATTCCACATCCTGGCTGTCATCCTTAACTGTGGTGAGAGAGATGACTAGAGAGACAGAGCGAGAGAGTGAGACAGAGACAGAGACAGAGAGAGTGAGAGGGAGTGACAGACAAAGAGTGAGAGAGAGAGAGGGAGAGCAAGACAGACAAAGAGAGAGAGAGAGATGAGGGACAATGTCTGACAGATCAACCAACCTGCACATGTCCTCTATGCCATTGTTCAATGTATGGTTAGTTTGACCCTTGATTATTGTTGTTACTGATGTCCCGTTGACAATATTGATTATTATTTTTTTCATTATGTTAATATTGTAAATCTCCAAAGTAAGTTTTGGCAATATGTACATTGTTACGTCATACCAATGAAGCAAATTGAATTGATAGAGCGAGAGACAGAGAAAGCGAGAGAGGGAGAAAGAGATCGAGAGCGAGGAGAGAGAGAGAGAGAGATTACGTCTAAATATCTCTGACAGACTGACATGGAAAATTGTAGTAATTGAGAAACATGAAGATCTACAGCTAAATGTCCTCTAACCTGGAGTCTTTGAAGGTTTATTTTTCTTCTGGACACAGTAAACTGCCAACAGCATCAGTAAGACAAGGACCACTCCTGCCAGAGACCCTGCTGCCATCCCTACTTTCTCTGGGACTAAGAGAGACAAAGACACAACAACACATAGGAGTGAAGCTCCATTGTAAAAACATCTTCATGATAATAATGACACCAATAATACATCAGAATAAGCATGATCACTTACTAAAAATCCAAAGGGTTGGAGGGGAGTTAGTACTAGTGTTGTTAGTCAAGCCCTGGGTGTGATTGCTGGGTCTGGAGGTCATTAGGGTGTCATGCCCCAGGCCCTTACCAGTGGAGGTTTTACTGGTGTAGGCCTCAGTCACCACTGTTGTAGGCTCAACACACAGGATACTACCAGTGGCATTCACCCACTCTGATATCTTTGTCCCGTTGGTTAAGGTGCAGTTAGCATAAGTGAGCCCTGTAGGCAATCCAAATTAAAAGTAATCACATGCGTATCTGAATTACATGTAAATACTGGCAAATGGATAATGCTGTTTCTAAACAGGTCAATTTTCATTGTTAAGTATTTGTCATTGATCATTATAATCACCATAACTATTATAATTAATCATTGATCTTGTTGGTCATAACAATATGTATTTATAACTAAGTAAATTAAACAGTAGCTTACCTGGACAGTGTGAGATTATGTTGCTGACAGCAACACTGCTGATGTTGTTTCTGACGGTACAGGTGAGATTTCCAGACAGGCCTTTCTTCAGAGTGATGGTGTTTGTCTCATCACCAGGAGAGGCCTCAGTGTCTCTCAGTGTCTGTCCATCCAGAGTCCAGCTGTACTGGGGACCGTCCCCCCCAGAGGAGCAGGACACCCTCATCTCTCCATGGGACAGACAGTCAGAGGACAGTTGAGGAGAGGACACTGGAGCTGTGGGGGAAGAAGGATATGTAACTGTAGTAAGAGGTCAAAACACATTAGAACACAACACCAGCCATTGTTCTTGAAAGCCACAGAAGCTACTGTAGTCAACAGGAGGAGCAGATTCATGATACACAATGACGGCATTTCAAATAACCAACAGATGATTTAATGTTGATGGATATGGTTATGACTCTATGTACCAACTACAGTAGCCTATGAAACAAAAATGACTCCATGGTTACACGTAAAATGCATTTCTCATTATTTGGATTATTAGGTAGTCACATATTTTTTGTTTAGCCAAAGAGAAATATGTAGAGCTTGTCAAAGTTATAATTTGTAATAATGATTTGACAACATTAACTTTATAAAGAGTTAGTTAATTACCTTCAATGAACAGTTGTAGTCCACTGGTGCTGATTGGTTTCCCGTCATGAAATATTTCTAGCAGGTATTTACCAGAATCATTCCTTGTTGTGTTATTTAACCTAAATGTCCCATTGTTTCTAAAGAAGTGTACTCTGTCTTTAATGGTGCTGTTTCTTATTACCAGTTTGTCATTCTTAATTTTGACTATCTCTTTTTTAGTAACATTTGTGCCTTTCCAAAATGTGAGGTCAACATTTCCCGTGGCATTAGTGATCAGCTGGAGATAGACAGTTCCTCCCAGAGCTCCATAACACTGAGATCCATCCTCTCTAGCATCACAGGAAGTCTCCAAGCCTGAAGATCAGGAAGAAAAATATACACGATAGTGACTATCACTGTTCTAACCCATGTCAAGTCATGTATCGTTTTTCAGATGAGGATACAAGCGACTAACAGTATAACCAAACCAACAGCATCAACGTAATAGAGAACAGAAGTCAGTGATCATTATCATGGAACAGTGAGTAAAGAGAAAACTGTCTCTAAGTGTTCTGAATATTGTCTATCATCATCCGTCATTTCTGCTACATGATATACAAGACTCCTTATATTATATTCTGCATAAAAAGAAGAGGGAAGCCAACACATAAAGTTGTTTCTTACCATGAGACACTCCTGCTGAGATCACCAACAGTCCTAAAACAGCCTCCATGTCTCTTTAGGGTCTCAGTTTATCAAATGAACCTTCAGTACTTCAACAAAGTCCTCTATTTTCTATTCAGAGCTGAATTTCCATAACCTGGCAATGTTTTACAGCATAAACAAAACCAATGCAAGAATAGTTTGAGAGACAGCTGTTCCTGCCACTCAGAATAGTTTTTCCAGTTTGTGACAAGCAAAAGAAGAAGTGTAATTGTGACCCTATTCATAGGTTCTGACTCACAGGAGAAAATCACACCCAGGGCTTGACTAACAACACCAGTACTAACTCCCCTCAGACCCTAAAGAGGAAGAGCCACGTCAAAGTTTCACTTCTTCATTATATAAAAAGCCAGGCTCGCTACATGTCTCCTGTGTGATGGATTTAGACAAGAAATCAAATACAGTATGTGATAAGTGAGGCTACTTTTGAGAGATGTTGGCGCCTGATTCGTTGTGTCAGGGCAGAGGTCAGCTCTCACACACTGCTGTCCAACACTGACATGAAGACACTACCTTCTTCACAATTAGTATGTGCTTTCACTCCATTTTAGATTGTGATAATTTGAAAAAGAAATTAAGAACTGAGAGAGATAGAAAGACAGGAATTTGAGAGGAGGAGAGGTGAGCGAAATAAGAAGTGAAACAGAGAGGACCAGTAGATCAAAGTACAATGTTTCCCTAATAGTGGTTTGTGACTCTCTGGTGTCTTCGACCGGCTGCAACTGATTCCTTTTGGGTTGAAGCTGTTGGCTGGACACAATAACATGTTGTAGATGGAAATGGTTAGTATGGCTGTATGTTGAGACTTAAAAGGTTAAAAAGCATGTTCAATCTATAACAGAAGGACTCACTATGGAAAGTGTATACAGTTTAGTTGTTCATATACATTTCATGTACTTCACCGTAGGGATGGTATTGGCCAGGTGATGAGCGGTGCCTGGTTTCCTCCAGACGTAACACTTGGCATTCAGGCCAATGAGTTCAAGTTCTGTTTCATCAGACCAGAGAATCTTGTTTCTCATGGTCTGAGAGTCCTTTAGGTGCCTTTTGGCAAACTCCAATCTGGCTGTCATGTGCCTTTTACTGAGGAGTGGCTTCCATCTGGCCACTCTACCATAAAGGCCTGATTGGTGGAATGCTGCAGAGATGGTTTTCCTTCTGGAAGGTTCTCCCATCTCCACAGAGGAACTCTGAAGCTCTGTCAGAGTGACCATCGGGTTCTTGGTCACCTCCCTGACCAAGGCCCTTCTCCCCCAATTGCTCAGTTTGGCCGGGCGGCCAACTCTAGGAAGAGTCTTGGTGGTTCCAAACTTCTTCCATTTAAGAATGATGGAGGTCACTGTGTTCTTGGGGACCTTCAATGCTGCAGACGTTTTTTGGTACCCTTCCCCAGATCTGTGCCTTGACACAATCCTTTCTCGGAGCTCTACGGCCAATTCTTTTGACGTAATGGCTTGGTTTTTGCTCTGACATGCACTGTCAACTGTGGGACCTTATATAGACAGGTGTGTGCCTTTACAAATCATATCCAATCAATTGAATTTACCACAGGTGGGCTCCAATCAAGTTGTAGAAACATCTCAAGGATGATCAATGGAAACAGGATGCACCTGAGCTCAATTTCGAGTCTCGTAGCAAAGGTTCTGAATACTTATGTAAATAAGCTATTTCTGTTTTTTATTAAATTTGCAAAAATGTCTAAAAACCTGTTCTCGCTTTGTCATTACGGGGTATTGTGTGTAGATTGAGGAGAAAAAAAATATATTTTATCCATTTTAGAATAAGGCTGTAACGTAACAAAATGTAGAAAAAGGGAAGGGTTCTGAATACTTTCCGAATGCACTGTATATGAAATGTATTAATTGCACTGTTAGAATGTTGCAATCAAGATGACTGCTCATTAACTTGAAGGGGGGTCCCTCGAGGCCCAGTCTATAAAGTAATTTTTTTAAATTGTGCAAGCAAGTGCGCACATAGGAGGTTACCATTAGACAGTCCTGCTGACTTCATCAGAACACCACAATCAGTGGATTCACTATTGAAGTTCCAAACTTGGATCACAAACTAAATCAACCTGCCACATCGTGTGACTAGGATGTTTGAGCAAAACACGCAATAGTTTGTGTCACTTCAGGGAGGGGAAAGGAAGTGTTTTGAACACAGTCTTGATCTCACTTCTTCATTTCACAGACCAATGCATGAAAATGTTGTATACAATAAGGCATTAAATAAGATACAACACAGAAGTAGGATACACCACACTCACAAGTGAACAAGAGATCTTGAGAATAGATTTACATGAGGGCTGTAAGAGGAAATGTGATTTTGTCACACTAAATGTAGTCAGCGAGAAATTGATGCCTCAAAATGAGAGAGACAGAAAGAGAGAGTGAGAGAGACGCTAAGTTCCCAAAAAGCTACTTTCCGCATTTCATTGTTTTGAAGAAAGATTCAGCTGAGAAAGAGCAGGACGTACCAAATCACCCCACTAAAAGATTAAATCTACACTACATGATCAAAAGTATGTGGACACCTGCTCGTCCAACATCTCATTCCAAAATCATGGGCATTAATATGGAGTTGGTCCCCCCTTAGCTGCTTTAACAGCCTCCACTCTTCTGGGAAGGCTTTCCACTAGATGTTGGAACATTGCTGCGGGGACTTGCTTCCATTCAGCCACAAGAGCATTAGTGAGGTTGGGCACTGATGTTTGGTGATTAGGCCTGACTCACCGTCAGCGTTCCAATTCATCCCAAAGGTGTTCGATGGGGTTGAGGTCAGGGCTCTATGCAGGCCAGTCAAGTTCTTCCACACCAATCTCGACAAACCATTTCTGTATGTATCTCGCTTTGTCATGCTGAAACAGGAAAGGGTCTTCCCCAAACTGTTGCCATAAAGTTGGAAGCAAAGAATTGTCTAGAATGTCATTGTATGCTGTAGCGTTAAGATTTACCTTCAATGGAATTAAGGGGCCTAGCCCGAACAATTAAAAACAGCCCCAGACCATTATTCCTCTTCCACCAAACTTTACAGTTGGACCTATGAATTGGGGCAGGAAGCGTTCTCCTGGCATCCGCCAAACCCAAATTCATCAGTTGGACTGCCAGATGGTGAAGCGTGATTCATCACTCCAGAGAACGCGTTTGGAAACCCATTTCATGAAGTTCCTGACGAACAGTTCTTGTGCTGATGTTGCTTCCAGAGGCAGATTGGAACTCGGTAGTGAGTGTTGCAACCCGAGGACAGACAATTTTTACGCGCTTCAGCACTCAGCGGTCCCTTTCTGAGCTTGTTCTGCGAGCTTGTGTGGCCTACCGCTTCGCAGCTGAGCCATTGTTGCTCCTAAATTTGACAAACTGACTTGTTGGAAAGGTGGCGTCCTATGACGGTGCCACGTTGAAAGTCACTGAGCTCTTCAGTTGGGCCATTCTACTGCCAATGTTTGTCTATGGAGATTGCATGGCAGTGTGCTCGATTTTATACACCTGTCAGCAACGGGTGTGGCTGAAATAGCCGAATCCACTAATTTGAAGGGGTGTCCACATACATTTGTATACATGGTGTACAGTTGAAGTCGGAAGTTTACATACACCTTAGCCAAATACATTTAAACTCAGTTTTTCACAATTCCTGACATTTAATCCTAGTAAAAATGCCCTGTCTTAGGTCAGTTAGGATCACCACTTTATTTTAAGAATGTGAAATATGAGAATAATAGTAGAGAGAATTATTTATTTCAGCTTTTATTTCTTTCATCACATTCCCAGTGGGTCAAAAGTTTACATACACTCAATTAGTATTTGGTAGCATTGCCTTTAAATTGTTTAACTTGGGTCAAACATTTCGGGTAGCCTTCCACAAGCTTCCCACAATAAGTTGAGTGAATTTTGGCCCATTCCTCCTGACAGAGCTGGTGTAACTGAATAAGGTTTGTAGGCCTCCTTGCTCGCACACGCTTAATCAGTTCTGCCCACAAATTTTGAGGTCAGGGCTTTGTGATGGTCACTCCAATACCTTGACTTTGTTGTCCTTAAGCCATTTTGCCACAACTTTGGAAGTATGCTTGGGGTCATTGTCCATTTGGAAGACCCATTTGCGACCAAGCTTTAACTTCCTGACTGATGTCTTGAGATGTTGTTTCAATATATCCACATAATTTTCCTTCCTCATGATGTCATCTATTTTGTGAAGTGCACCAGTCCCTCCTGCCGCAAAGCACCCCCACAGCATGATGCTGCCACCCCCGTGCTTTACGGTTGGGATGGTGTTCTTCGGCTAGCAAGCGTCCCCCTTTTTCCTCCAAACATAACGATGGTCATTATGGCCAAACAGTTCTATTTTTGTTTCATCAGACCAGAGGACATTTCTCCAAAATGTACGATCTTTGTCCCTATGTGCAGTTGCAAACCGTAGTCTGGCTTTTTTATGGCAGTTTTGGAGCAGTGGCTTCTTCCTTGCTGAGCGGCCTTTCAGGTTATGTCGATATAGGACTGGTTTTACTGTGGATATAGATACTTTTGTACCTGTTTCCTCCAGCATCTCCACAAGGTCCTTTGCTGTTGTTCTGGGATTGATTTGTACTTTTCGCACCAAAGTATGTTCATCTCTAGGAGACAGAACGCGTCTCCTTCCTGAGCGGTATGATGGCTGCGTGGTCCCATGGTGTTTATACTTGCATACTATTGTTTGTACAGATGAACGTGGTAGCTTCAGGCGTTTGGAAATTGCTCCAAAGGATGAACCAGAGGTCTACAAAAAAAATTCTGAGGTCTTGGCTGATTTCTTTTGATTTTCCCATGATGTCAAGCAAAGAGGCACTGAGTTTGAAGTTAGCCCTTGAAATACATCCACAGGTACACCTACAATTGACTCAAATGATGTCAATTAGCCTATCAGAAGCTTCTAAAGCCATGACATCATTTTCTGTACATTTCCAAGCTGTTTAAAAGCATGGTCAATTTATGACCCACTGGAATTGTGATACAGTGAATTATAAGTGAAATAATCTGTCTGTAAACAATTGTTGGAAAAATTACTTGTGTCATGCACAAAGTAGATGTCCTAACCGACTTGCCAAAACTATAGTTTGTTAACAAGAAATGTGTGGAGTGGTTGAAAAACTACTTTTAATGACTCCAACCTAAGTGTATGTAAACTTCCGACTTCAACTGTATATCCACAGTAA